AGCAATTTTACCTCGTCACCCATTTTGGCTACTTCACAGACAGTTTTTTTCTTCAATTCAGTCTCAAAGGACCAAAGGGAACATATTATGAAATTTGAAATCTGTCAAGTACTTCTCTAAGAGATTCTGATGTTCTATTCAGTCTAAAAATTAAACATCCACAACTAAGGACTAGGAGAACCTACATAGACTGGCTTCCCCAAAAAAACATTACATTATTTACAATATGGCTTGTTCACAACATCTGAAATTATAAAAAAACGTCATTGCTCTGTAATATTGTCCCAAAGTATTGACCTGGATTGGTCATGTAATCGACAAAATTCAGTGAAGCATAGCAGTTGGCCAAGGTAGGGCTACATTCTTGTCAACTGTATCATGTACCTCGACTGACCCAACGTCATATCCAAAGTCGCTCAGTTAGGGCACAACAGCATTAGTGATGGTCTCTAAGACAATGGCAACAAGTTCTAGTAACGGATGACTCTAAATATCTACTCTATCGCTCAGATGGCAGAATGCCAATGTATCGTAGTTGTGATGAGAGTTATCAGGATGCCTGCAGGTTATGTCATGATCAGTTTGGCAGTGGAAGCGTCATGGTACAGGGTGGAATATCATGCAATGACCACACAGGGAGCTGATCTCGGTATCACGTTGCTCCATTCAAAGTGACAAGTGTCGGCACATTTCAGATCTCAATCCCCTTGAGCACTTCTTGGATCAGATTCAGATGGACAGAAGGGTGAGAAATCAACGTAAGCAGCCTCAAATTAAGGACCAGTTGAGGACAGCCGTACAGGAAGAGTCACGTAGGATCCTGATGAGGTCTATGAACCAACTCTTCACTTCAATGCAAGTCATTATCAGGCTGTGGTCAATACCAGGGGTTCTTTCGTGCATTGATATTCTGTGAATTGGATTTTTACGTACGTTAGAATCCCCCCTAAAAGATTGAGGTTTTTTAAGCATACCCTAAACGGTGGTGATGACTCTTTTGCTCCCATCAAATCAATGATATATTTGAAATCATCGGTTATCATAATTTGTAGTCTAAGTACTTTCATTTACAACTTGCATATCCATATAAAGTCCCCCGGGATACTCCAGGGGTTGACAAAACTTGAACGGGTAAAAGGGAGACAATTCAGCAAAAAGAGGGAGAATATATCATTTACATTATGTCTTCATGTAAGTATTAAGTAATGATGTATACATTGTAAGTCATGTTAGTCATTGAAGGCAGGTGTGGGACTAAGGTGACTTGCAATGGGTTTTTTTAAATTTTTGAATATGCATTGTAAACAAAATTAATATTTATGCAATAAATCCATTCATTAAGCAATCTTAAGCATAACTGAATCGAAACAAGTTTATGGTAAAATCATTGGTCCAGTGGTTGCTTCCTTCCACATAAACAAAGTGTCCCTGAAACTGAACCACTGTAGCTTTTGTGGGAAGCATAGGTAACAATTGGACAAATTTTATCCGAAACATTTCATTTGTGAGTGTATAATTTTTATATACCTATCTACCATCATCCTCGATTTCCAGGGGTTACGATCACCTACGCTCACTAGAGAACGAAAGTGAGCGTAACCCCTGGATATCGAAGATGATCTACCATAAAACATTTCAGAGTCTGTTCCAAGTATAATCTATTGAGTATACAAAGACACTTAGAATAGATAGCTTTTCAGTAACTTTTGTGTCTTAATGCACATACAAATTGTAAAATAACTTCTGTGCAGATCACAAAAAGAATAGGCTACTGCTGCTAAGAGTAAGCTTATTTAAGAAGCGAATAAAACAGGTTGATAATCTCTGCTTTATATGAAGGTTAAACTATTGAATGGCCCAACATCCAGGACACTTATAATTGCCTTATATGACCTTACCTTTTGAGTGGTCCCTACCTAACACACCGTCAACTAGTACTAATATTAATACTCTGTCCCCTCTGCCCCGGCCAAATGTCTCGTCGTTAGAAGCTACGTTATTGCAGCTAACCGTCACAATATATCTTTATGACCTTGGCAGTCAAAAGCCCTAGTTTCCTTTGGCTCCAACACCAGACTTGAGACATTCTGACAGATAGAAATCAAGCCAACACCAGACATCTTTATTCTGTCAGGATGTCTCAAGGCTGGTGTTTGGGCCACAGGAAACTCGGGCTAAGCTGTCAATGATCCAGTCATCTGTATAGACTGTTAATTCTTGAAACTGTGCACAGAATCTGCGGACATTGTCGTCGTATGCAGTTTTACATGTGTAAACTTATTCATATCTGCGCATAGCTGCGATAACGTAGCTTCTGCCGACGAGACATTGTACATGGGCAGAGGAGCCCGGGTACTAATCTGGACAGTCTCCACATGACCATACATGTAGGTCTACAACCAGCTACTATGAAGGTGAAATACAACACATTGACCTCTGCAATGATATGTGACCTGTAGCGCAAACAATATTGGTGTTCTGTGTTTGCGCTGTAATTAAATTACCGTTTTTAAGTACATAACTTATCAACACTAAAAATCTTATGCATTTATATAAACCTAGGTGCTTATGATCATACCATTCTCTCGGCATACTGGAAATTCCAGATGACCCATCCCGTCGTTGCCACAAAAAACAGCCCCGACAGACCAAACAATGTCCGGGAAAGCTTGGCATGAAAGTTGCTGTTCATGTCCTTTTGTTGTTACAGCAAGTCTTGTTAGCAACCTCAAGCGGTCTTCTCGTTACACCATGTTGCCACCATATTGGAAAAGGGACATAATTCATGAGTTGTCGCCCCTTCATCATACTCCAAATTATTCTCATAAAATGAATTTCGTCAGTGATAGATCTACTTGTTGTCTGGAAGATTTTTATAAGATCTCATATTTCAGATATTTTTAAATATTGGTTCTTAATAACAAAAGATCATAGAAGGATCTTGGCGCCCAACATCAAAGGATCTTTATTAGATGCACAAAGTAATATTGTATCTATAAGACTTTAGTCCCCCAGTCCCATGTTCAAAATCCTAAATGGGAATCTTGTAAATAACCTTTTAATGTCATGTTATTTGCCACTATGAAACAAATTTTATTTAAAAAAACCCCACTATATGCCAAATGCTAAAAAATTGTAATTCTTATATAATTAGAAGTGCTAGCCAATGATGGATGAATTTGCATTTAGGCCAGGGGTATTTTTAGTAAGAGGACCAAGGGGAACATATATAAAAAATACCTGGTAGTGATAACGAAATTCTGATCACTACACAAATTTGATATGCAATTTGAAGGACCATAGGGAACCTACAAGTCAAATTTGAGAAAGTTCCTTCCTGAGTACTACCTGAGAAATAGCTAACAAACTTAAATTGCAAAATTCAAGATGGCTGCCTGTCAACCATCTTGGTTTTCCTATCAGTCGATATGTATTTAACTAGCGACTATTTGAAACCTTCATGTAAATGTTGAGTAAGATGCATCCAGTCCTTTTTGAGAAATAGGGATAACAGCCTTAAACTCTCAGAATTCAAGACGCCTGTCTGTTGGCCAACTTCCTGTCCTGGGAGTAACGCAAAGCGAGTTCGATAATCAACCATTTACCATAGTCGGGCTGTTACACCTTATGTTCTTACACATGCTGGTAAACAACCAATCACTGCCTTGCTTTCAAATAATCATGCATGCTCAAACAACCACTAGTTGCTCTGGTCTGACTAAAGGAAATTTGAAGGTTGTACTATAGTGGCCAGGCATGCACACCGAAACTTCTTGTTTCTTTACACATGCGCAATACACATTACTAAAGTGAGTTTGATCATACTCTAGTAAGACCACAGTCACGATAGTTGATGATCAAACTCGCCCAAACATACATAACACAAGGCCCACTTCCTGTAATGGGAAACCTAACACAAGGCCCACTTCCTGTCATGGGAAACCAAACATACACTACACAAGGCCCACTTCCTGTCATGGGAAACCAAACACACTTTACACAAGGCCAACGTAAGCAAGGAACCAACTAATTATACATTATATTAGACTCACAACCCTTCATAAGGTCATGCAAGCAAGAAAGCAAATACTCATTTAACCATTTAATGAAGATCGGCAAGTTGATACTGTTTGTTAATGAGATGAATATCAAACGTCTGGAATTTAATAACATGGATGTGAGATGAATGAACAATGTTACTTTAAAATAAATGCAACTCATAATAATGACAACAAGGAACATTTGTTGTGCTGTTTTTATTTTGAGTAATACAAATGCATGCACATTAATTATTTTTGACACATTTTCACTGACATGAAAAATTTACAATTATTGCAATGCCCCGTATACTTAATAGTTATACAGATTACTCATTAGCTCATTGTGAGTGAAATCCAGAGAACACAAACACTTTGGTATCTACTATCCTCCCTGTAATGACTTTATCTACATAATTATATGTTATATGTATATATAATGACACATATAAACATAAAATTATGGTACATGGTAGTTCTATTCTGGCTTAATAACTACACATGAGTATGTTTTTTTAATTTTGTGGAATTAAATGAAAAGTGTTGCAACTTCAGTGCAATAATGTTCATCACCAAACAAAATACCTGCTATTCCATCTTAATGTGAGTTTACTACAACACTACAGTACTATAGGAACCACATTCTGAAATAACAGACTAATCAATCTATATATCACTCCTCCCTTATTTAAATTCATGTATTGACTACAAAAAATAATTGACAACAGCACTTACTTCTGAAAATGTAATATATCAATGCACTCAAATTATTTTGATAAACCTCTAAAGTCTTGAATTTATTACAGGGTTAATTACAATATAATATTGAGTGAAAAACTTCCAAACAATTATCATTATTGTAAAAGAAGTGCATTGATTAGGTTGCCTTACAAGCGTCAGCTGTAGGGAATTTTCCCTTTAGCTCAGCGGTAGAGCATCAGGCTGGAGAGCCAATGGGCGCGGGTTCGAGCCCCAGCGACGGCACTATCTTTATCACTTTTCCTTGTCCTACTACATTATCAAGTATACATGTACACCTTTCAATGCTTCACTTACAACAGTAACAGTTTATGAAGACAATCGGTATATTCCTTACCTACCGGTATTCAGTTACAAACTAAGCAATGCATTCTCCCGATACCAAGAATATTGTAGACTTTTTCAATTTCAAATTATGGTTACCATTTTTTGTTGGATATCTAATTATTTCTCCAAAAGCACACAAAGTATTTGATGTTAAATGATCAAAAAAAAAAGAAAAAAGTTTAGATCAATGAAGTTTTTTTGGAAGTTTTACAGTTTGAAATAATCTAATGGTATGTGAGGAATAGGATTATGATTCCCCCCCCTACATAACTGACCAATGCTACTATGACATAAATATGGTATTACACACGTGTAATTAATAATAACTGCTTTGCATTGCACAAAAACAATAAAACTATGACCGGAGTACTTTGTTTTGAGTCAGCTGATAACACATAATTGTGTTTGAAGTTTTTTTTCAATTTACGAAAGTTATGTGATAATTTGAATCTTATGTTCGTGTCCATATAATATTGAATTTATTAAACCAGTTCAATTATCTTATATGACACAAGCATTTAGGCCATGTCATATCAAATAGTTGAACTTGTTTAATAAATCCAGTATGACATGGACACAAATGTAAGATCCTCTACGTATACTTGTATGTGAAGTCCTGCAATCATTGAAACTCCGGAGTTATATAACTTATCTGAAAATGAAATCACTGGGTTTGATTGCACAAATCAAAATCATCCCCAATTGGATATCCTCTGTGATTGCGATTTGTGATATTGCAACACTATAATTCTACAAGAAACCTGTCTGTTTAAATGATAAAACAGATAGTATACAATGTTTTTGGTGATAAAGGTAGAGTAAGTCACAGGTCCAAGACTTGTCATTGAAGTGATTGGTTTGGAAACAGTAACAGGCACAGATCCTTTTCCCTATACATCAAAGTCTGTCTCACTATCTTGATAAAGACCGCTTTCCTTCTTCTGTTTCTTTGTTATACGCTTCTAAAGAACTCCGGAAGTCATGTAGAAAGTTGTATTGCTGAAACAAGATAAAAATACATACACATCAAAAACAGACAAAAAACAGTCCTGTGATTTTACTGTTTTTATTTGTTGCACAATATCAAGTGTAGAACTGTTTTAAGTGGGGTTGATTTATATCAACATTTGCTTTGCAGGAGTTATCTCCCCTTTATCACACCAACTACTGGTACGTACAATATAGTATTTATCAGAATTGCACATATAACTTATTCTTTAGTATGTGTTACATTTTCATACCAGATCAGTCTATACTTAGACAGATGAAATAAAATTTTACAAATGATTGATATTTTTTTTAGTGTTTTTACATTTTATATGCAATCAGTTGTATTTAGAATCCGCTGGATTTAAGAATAAGGATCTAAATCTTCAAAAACAGCACAAAAACTCAGACGAATCAGGTGGGATTGCCTGATCCGATTTCATCATATGTGTCCACACCAGAAAGGGACGAAAATTTGTATGAAGAATGCCCGGCAAGGTTACAAAATTACCTTAATATGCTATCTGCAGCAAGTCAGCTTAAACATATATCAGGCCACAAAGTAAGTGAAAGTATCTGTTACAGTGAATCATCAAGAAATTGAATTTGCTCCACTGGAAAAAACTGATGGAACAGATGAAGCGGACAAAGAAAGGAATGAAAGACTTCAAACAACCAGTAATATTCAATTTCATACTTTAAGGAGTAGCCAAACCTGAGTTAGCAGAGTACAGTAGAAATGGCTTGATCCTAAAAATGAAGGGTATGTCTCAGATAAACATGGATAGCGGATTTATCCTGCACAACACACCTACATATATATATATATTTATAAACTACATTTTGAATACATATTTTTTAGAAGAATGATTTTTTTTCAAAAGGTGATTTCCCCAGATTTGGGACTTGTGAAAACCATGGTTACCACATCAAAAAATGCCAAAGAAAACATGATTTTTAACCCAAATTTGGACAAACGCAAGTTGTATTTTTTTTCTTAAAACCTGTCTGAAATTGAATATCACCTACTCGGTAACAGAAATACTCACGTTTTAGCATAGTTCATTGGACTGGATTTTCACAATATTTACACATGTGCTGAGTACAAAAATAGACAACATAAAAAGCTAGCTTTTGTTGTGTAGACACAGATTTGTAAATGGTCAAATATGTAGGGTACATTCGCGTTAACGGTTGAAATGGTTGAACCTGTAAAGAAAACGACAGGTACAGATCTGGACCGAGGCCGACCTCAGGAAAATTTGGCACGTTTAGATTGAGGGGTCCAGACGTCCCTGACCGAAACTAAAATGCTGACTATTGCCAATTTGCATTATTTCTTTCTAAAACAATGTCAAGTCACATGTAGTTTTTAAGTTATGTTATGTAATTCAGTGGACGGATGAAAGAAGGTCATAATATTCTTGAAACACTGTTTTTTATTCTATTAAACTGTGGATTTGTAGCTCTGCTGATAGAACGGTCCAAGTGTGTTCGTTTATCGTGGATTTTTTTTGCGCCACACGTACCGTTTCATCCGGGATACGCGAATGTAGCCTAAATCTCAAACCAAATTCGATTTTTTTTTTAATGTGAAGCCTACATAGTCCACTTCATCATGTATATGCCAATTTTAGTGTTTTTAAGTTTTGATACATGTAATATTACAGGGGTTATTCATTGTACAAAAAATATCACCCATGGCCACCGTACGCTATACTGTACACTGCTACCTGAATATTCCTAGTAAGTATTAAACATTCTAACTAGCTCTGACATAATAACTGTGGGTGTTTGACTGGTGAAATAGCACACATCTGACAACTAGGTAACTACAGCTAGATACAGGGCTTTAAGTTGACCCCTGACATTAAACAATGTCAGAGGTCACATCACCTTTTTCCTGAAACTTGAAGGGTCAAATCACATGACAAATAGACATGTCGCTTTAAACTCAAGAGTCAAATTTTTGGGATTCAAAAACATAGCCTCTATAACAATGGTCTTATGGATTATGGAAGCCCTGAGTTATACAGTGTATAAAACTCCTCAGCAGAATTCCTATTCATTTGCAAATTAAAACCCTGCCACGGAGCACTTGTTCACATAGTACAAACCATTTCTATAGGGTCCTGTTAACACACAATACAAACTGATGTACAGAGCTCTGATCACACACAAAAAACCTGCCACAATACTCCTGTCAACATTTTACAAACTACTGCCAATGTGCTATTATTACCTTGACCGACTGGACAGCAGCATGCCCCCGTAGGTCCCGTACTTTCTGTATAGCTACATCTGGCTCCATACCTGGGTCCATCACCATCATCAGACAGGCTGTCACTGCAAACAGCAAAAGGAACTTATGTCAATCAGTCCACACAATATAAGTAACTTATGTCAATCAGTCCACACAATATAAGTAGCTTTCCTCGATCACTTCCATGATTAAGTAGGGTTAGATAAGTGCAAAATTAAAAGTGTTCAAATTTTCTTTAAAAAAAGGTAGCTTACTGTTTTTAAAAGTTTTTTTTTGCTTACCAAGACACGATCGCCCCAATCCTCCATAACAACTGTAATAGACAAAGAATGTACGTATTATATTTGTTAGCAACTGTAATAAACATACAATAAAACACAACCTTACATAGAAACTGAAACAGACAAGTAACTTTTACATTATCCTCTTTAACAATTGAAACAGACATACAATGTCAATGGCATGCATACATTATCCAGACTTAATTCAGATTCCAACTAAAATTAATTATATTAATTCAGATGTCTGATAGTATAGGTAAACAATGAAATATAAGCTTATATATTATATCTTAATTCAGATTACAGCAAAATGCTTTAGATGTCACCAAAATATTATATCTTATTTCTAATAAAATTTGAGGAAAATGTTTAACTTCATCAACAAATAATGTTTATCACAATCTGATGTAATTTTATCGTGAATTATAATAATTATAGAAAAACATAAACCACTGACTGTATAAGTGTTGTCTTATTGTTCATAAGGTTGGAGTGAATTTCATCCACAATCTTCGTGAGGAGGGGGAAGCTGGGGACCTGTCCGTCGGGGAATGCATGATGGTGAACTGTGATTTCAGTGGCAGACATTTCGTGTAGCAGCCAGGGCACACGATATTTATTGAGCTCTCCCTTACTGCACAGACAGAAAACATCTGTCACTTCCTCTCGTTTGATGGCCTCTGAGAAACAAACATATCTATACTGTACATGATTTTATTTTTACATGTAATATAAGATCAGGCAATTACTTCAGCAGTGTTCCCACTAAATTTTAGACTTTGGGGTATATTTGAATTGATACATTTTCAAGATTCTTACCCCTAGGTACAATTCTTGAAAACTGGGAGTATAATCAACTGCTTTGGGGATGAAAAACCCTCTTCAGGGCCTTTTCATTGAATTATTTACAGATAAAATCTATTGTTTTTGTTTCAGGAGTACAATATTGTCATATATGATTCCTAATAGAGTTGTATGTAGCTGTAAAACATGTAATAAAAAAGATAGTTTTAGTTTTCAGCCATTGTACAATTCCAAAATATTGATTTACTAAAAGTTACAAGAGTTGATTTTGTAGTTTAATTTTCCTTACTTAAGTCATTTTCCAAGCTTCTCCAAGTGTCTTTAAATCTACATCCTGTAAAATAAATAAATAGGATATATATTTATTGATGATAAGCAGTAATATTTCATTGCAAAGGCTGGATCCTTTGGTATTTTTTTTTTATAAATATGAAACATAAGAGATATAGAAATTATTTGTCTGTAATGTTGTACCAATTTCATGATGTTGTAGTACTGAGAAAAATCTAGGACTGACTTACCTGGAAGGGCACACACACCAAACTTTGCACTGCAGCTCAGGAAAGACAAATCCAACCTGTGAAAGTGGTGATTCAGAATTGTAGTTATGTGATCAATAGTGAAAAAATAATGATTAATTATAATTATCAGTCACATAAGTCAACATTCATGATCAGTATATAAAGGATGTTTATTATAAGATTTTTGGCAAAATGCATGTTGGTTGAAGATCCATTTGAAATCTCAAAAGTTGGGAGTATCACAGATTTAGTCTGCAGTGGGGTAGGGTAGGAGTCAGTATCTGAACCTGAACGCATCATCCGCATGTGGGAATAGGGATTGAGATATCAGCTCAAAACCTACTTATTTAACTTGTGTAGGCACAACAATTGTTTTATCCAATTATTTAGGCCAGTTGATGCTCCTCATGATCTAGCTGCGATAATGAAGCTACTGACGTCACAACGAAACTTTTTTTTTTATATCAATTAACAAGCAGACTTATATTTAGGAAGTACTACTTTTCAACAAGAACTAGTACTGTACCAGTATGGAATCAATTACCTGAAACTGTTATATCGCCACCAAATGTTAACTCCTTTAAAAATAAATTGGACAATCACTGGAAAAATCAAGAACTTTTCTACAACTACAGAGCTACAATCAAATATTAAGCCAACTCTGCATATATATATATATAAAAAGAGCTGTTTTTATGTTTTGTAACTATAAGCGTGATGTATTTTATCATGTATTTTATTTATGAGTGATCTGGTATAGGGAATTTGATAATTCCTGAACCAGAAATAAACTTATCTTATATCTTCCCGGCCGTGGCAAAGGAGGCTTGGTATCAATATTAGTGCTATTGTAGGGGAACAATGTCTTAGAAGATTTACTTCTGAATGGTCAAAATGGTCAAAATTAGTAACGCTTGACCTCACCTAACCCCGAGTCTTATGACTATTTATACTAAGCTAGTATACAGTTAAAGTATGGGGTTGAGGGATATATCAAGTTTCTGGTGTCCTGAGACCAGTTATATTTCCCGAGGCGAAGCCAAGGGAAATAGGCATGGTCAAGGGACACCAGAAACTTGCTATATCCCTCAACCCCATACTTTAACCGTTTTATTATACCGATACACACTGCGGAGATAGTTTTAACTAGAAAATATTTGTAAACCATAAGCTGTATATAGCTTCACGTCCCAACTACCCCTTTGATGGCAATGGAGCCAAATGCTTCCAAGTTCGGTAACAAGCTCGGTCCACCTCATGCGTCGCTTCCGAGTTCAGTAGCAAGCTCCGCCCACCTCGCGCGTCGCTTCCGAGTTCGGTAACAAGCTCCGCCAACCTCTCGCCTGATTGGCATGGCGGAAACACCCGAGTGTAGGTGTGTTTTAGTTCCCAGACTAACACACAGGACTAAAACACAGTCAGGCAAAAGTGGGGATATATTCGATTTAACCAATTACTTTTATATAGAGTAAATAAAGTAGAGGTATAATAATAGGTGTTATTCTCTTGCTTACTCCCACCCCTCCTATTTATGTTTACAAGCAGCATATAAAATAAATTGGAATCTCACTTGTCAATGTATATTTCCTTACCTATATTTACCAATCTTTCTTTTTGTATTACACATTGTCTTCTGCAGGTCTCTATTCAATTAGAATAAGTAGCAATGACTGCTGATGCAGGTATACATTACCAGTGTAAATCAGAATTGTGTTTTTTGAACGATGCAGGCTGAGCCAACTTATATTTATAAATATTGACAAAGTCTCACAGCATTTTTTTTAAAATTTATTTTCTTTCTTTTTTGCTCAAATTTGGCAGTCTGATCTCTCTCTCTCTTAGTGCTCTTTGTCCATTTGTTTTGTCTCTCTATGTGTGAAAATGTGTGATAATTGAATGTGTCTTGGTGATTGTATAAAATCAGATGATGATGATGATGATGATAATTTCAATAGTCCATGTGTGAATGTGTGTTGATGTGATTTTCTGTATAATGTTCTGAAAATCTTGAAAAATTAAAAAAATAAATTAAAAAAATAAAACATTAGTGCTACTCAAGATCATGTACGATTTTCAAGTATCTTTGATCTGGACCTGCACAATGTAGGGCCTTCTCAGACATAAACACATCAGGAGAGAGAGTGCTAGAGGCGCTTAGTCGTGCGGTTGCAGAGCTGACTTTAAACACTTGAGTGACTCTGCACGCACAACGTTGTCTGGAAGCTGATTCCAGTCGATGGTCGTTTTGGGAAATAATTAGTTTTTATAGACAGGTGTAAAAGATGTGCATTGATTAGGTTGTCTAAAAGCGTAAGCTGTAGGGAAATTCCCTTTTGCTCAGCAGAAGAGCATCAGGACTGAGAGCCAAGGGTCGAGGAATCGAGCCCCAGCGACAGTACTATCTTTATCACTATTCCTCGTCCTACTACACAGGTGTGTTACAGTTTGTAGTTTTGATCTGTTGATAAAACAAACATGACATTCCCCACCTACCCAAGGGGTTCGTCCCTGCCCAGGACCCAAATTTAAATCATCCCCAACTCGGTAGCCCCAGGCCTGCTGCAGGCAATAAATAAAGTTATATCGTGATACAACCCAGTAGGGGCCACAATATGAGACACCACCACAGNCTCGGAGGACACTCATTACCCGGAGGACACTCATTAGGGTGACCGCCACAGGCATTTGTTTCTGTCGATAAAAATAGTAACAAAAAAAAAGCGCTTGACTATTTTTATTGACAGAAACAAATGACAGTGGCAGTGGAAACCACGTAGTCTGCTAAAACTGACCATAATCGCAGGCTCAAAAAATCTGATCGGTCGCCTGATTTTTGAGCCTGCGATTATGGTCAGTTTTAGCGGACTAGACACCACGGATAAGAGCTGACTATTGCAACGGACAGATTTTAGAACGATTTCTCACCACGATATCTTAAATGGAGATACATCTAGCTCGCCACTTTCTTCATCTGAGGAGTCGAAACTCGATGATATTACTTCTTGTTTTTCTGGTGTTTTCATGGTAAGCTCAATCGTTGGACATCTTTTGAACAAGTCTGAATTTGTTTACGTTTGGATCTCCCGCTTATATAAGCGACTTTATGATTGGTCAAAACAACCAAATGCGAGCTTTCGAGTTTTCTCTTGATTTATGTGCAATTTTACTTCGGAGTGTTTCTAATAAGCAACTTCCGTAGAAACCCCGACAAGATGGCGGCAATGATAGTAAACATTCACCTGTTGCAGAGATGAGGAACCATTTAACACCTTATTGGTTTGTAAATCAACAGAAAAGGGACAAACACTTGAATTGATATAGCTCTCCTCGTACTTCTGTCTTTGTTTCTGTGTTTACTTGCGTCTAAATGTTACATGTTTTGTATAAAATAGCAGTTTGCCCGATGGCTAACGGCCAACAGGTCGTACGCCAGAGAAATGGTTGGTTGGATAGCACTGGCGGCATGCCAGTCTTTGGTATGAGCCACCACTTAATTAATATAATTTCAAAAGCAAATATCTTGAATAATGCCAGAAGAAATCAATATCATTTAAAATTGATGTCGTTTGCATGCACCTTTCATCTCACCAGTGACTGAAATCAGAGGGCCTATGTTACAATGCAAAGATTTCTAATGTTCCTCAAATTGAGTTATTAACATCATTGTTGTTGTGACATTATCACATCGTAGATGTAGGGTCGATACTGTCAAGATTACAATAAACCATACCACAGAGTGTCAGTAAGGACTAATGACCCACAAAATAAAAGCCACAAAACATTTAGATACATATGAATGTACACATGTTTCATTTGTGCTTATATCTAACTGATAAAACATTGGTCATTTAAATTTTATAATAAATGTCTTGTCAACAGTCAGAAAACACAATTGAGCTGGTTTTCTTAGTGCCGTTATTCTCGTTAATATGGTTTACCCAAATTCCAATTTTATGTTTAAGCCAGGTCACAGAATATACTGCCAATTAGTCTTATTGATCTTAATTACAATATAGATACTATCTTCTCATTTCATAAGTTTGACACTCATATTCAACATTTGACTTCAGTGTCACATAGATATGTGACTTGTACATACTGCAGATTAGGTTTATAATCAGTGCAATAATGTTTAACAGTACAAGATCTTTCTAAAATATGAGTTTCAGATAATTGACAGATTTAGTGAAATTTACTTATTTATATTCATTGTTTTTTGTCTGTGTCAGCTATGGAATAAAACAATGCCAGCCTCAATTGTGCCAATCGTCCGAACAAGGGATTACTCCCTGAAGCCAGTGACAGGTCTGAGATATGGCAATTTTGAGGGTGTGGTTCACCTGCCACCACTGGCTCAAGGTCCCAGGGTGGGGATGCAGAATTTCTGTTTGATCAACAACCAACAGATCTACAGGAAGGTGACTGACTGGTTTCAGGCATGGCGGCCGTGGCAGCAGTGTGTTCTCCTTTGTGGAATAGCAGACAGGTAATTTAATTAAAATCAGGACTCTTGTTACTTTCGTTGTTTGAAAGGTATTTTTTTTTTATATTGTAAATACATTTGTTTATGTTGTGCTGTTTGATTTGCAGAACTTAAAATTACAAGAAACATGTTCTCATATATTTTTTCACATTTATCACAGAACAGTCAACCAAGGAATTCTGTAATTATTAAACTGATTATTTTCAGATGCACAGTTCGGCAGTTAGACATGCTAGCAACCTCTCTAGAACCTGTCAAGCACAGAGACTTCACCACAGCACATTTATTAAGATATCCATCAACCTCATTTAGGAAGCTTAAGTCGAGACAAGGAAAAGACAATTCAAGGGAGACGCTCAATGACACTCTGTCCGATGCATCCGACTTTTACTCTGAGGACTTAAGTGAGCTGGGGACGCCTGAGTATCAGACACTGAGTCCACTCAAGCTGTACAATGACACAGAATCAGCCAGCTCTAACGATGGCATCACTAACTACACGCCATCTTTGTCTCCCTCTGTTGAATCTGACACTGCACCTAAGAGGCAGTGGGGCCGATACGCCCGCCTTGAGGTGGTTCATGAACATGCTGTCTTTAACAATCCTCTAAAGCCACCACCTGTTTTACCAGATGTTGCCGACTATGCAGACAAGCTTTCTACTGCTATTTTAGACAGTGTCATGGGAGATTTGAGAAAACAACGTGTAGCCGAAGAAAAGATGATTAAAATAAATCGCCAAAAAGCTAAGAGTAAAACAATGATTCCTTTTCAAGGGGGGTTTTCTTTTCCGAAAGGAAGAAAGGCACAATCAATGCCAAACCTAAATCTGTCTGATGTTTCAAAGTCTTTTCCTCAGCCTGCAAAGGTTAAATCTCAAATAGATAAAAAGTCCAAAGTAAAGGTGAAGAGAATGAAGAATGGGGGCTTGCCACAAGTTTCCAAGGGGAAAAGTGTGACTTTGGCACCAATCTCTCGCAGTGATTTTTTATGGAGGGAACATACAAGATTTTCTGATATATCTCAGATTTCTAAAAGGAGTGTCAGTTTTGTAAGACATCAGATGTTTGGCAGGACCACTGTCAGCACTCCAGACTTCTTCAGTGTTGAGGGTGTGGAGAGGTCAGGTATGTAAAACTGTCTATAGTGATTAGATACCATTCTTTTTTACTGAATCAGTTGATATGCTTTAAGTAAAAATACATTCTCTGATAATGTGAAAATTATTTTGTTGATAAAATAACCCTGTACCAAGGTCAGTGTTCAAACTTAACAGTAGACCCATAAACAATCAAAGTCAAAAACACTGTGGGTCTACAGGAATCTTTTACTTCATAGACCAAGAATTCTGTTATTTCCTGTGATATACCGGCAGGTATGTGATTCAGTGATAAGTATACATAGTAGTGAGAGAAAAGGTCCTCTGTGAAATTTCTTTATATTATGTTATTGAACATTAAATATTTAAGTAAATGTTCCTGGTCAAGGTATGGTCTATCAAAATTTCAGTAGATCGATAAGAAATCTAAATCTCATAGACCTATTGTCTATGGTGTGTAAGTCCTATATTCTAAAACTGCAAGGTGATAATGTTTTTAGGTGAGATGCAGAGAGGGGTGCGGTTTAGTGCGGACCCAAAGTCAGCAGTACTTGGTTCCCTTCCTGTCCCACTACAGAGTATGTACAAGGGGTATAAATGGTGGCCTGTACAACCACACGAGGGCATGCAGTACCGCAGACCTTCAAAGAGTGACCTTCTCTCCAACTACAAACAACAACTTACAGAAATATATACGGTAGGTGAGAGTTCCCTGATAGAGAACTGCAAGAGTTTTTACACATACCAGGTACATGTATTACAATGTGTGTAAGTAAAAGACATTGGTAACGAATATGTTCCCTAGGTAATCAAGTGACTATACAATAGTCTAGGAGTCTTAACATATACTGAAATAATAATGAATTATACTTACTTTCTATTTATAAAAGAAAAAGATTGGTAAATAATTATCAGTTCATTTTGAACATATGTAAAATGGACTGTGTTGGCTCACTGAGTGAATATATATATTTGTGTTTTTACTACAGTGGCTGGGAGAATGGGAAGACTATGAGAAAATAAACCTTCTCAATGTTATCCTCAAAATATCTAGTCCAGATGCCCTGAACTTCCTGATGAGCTACATCAAACAGAAGTAAGACACATCAGTATCAGATTTTGACATATTAATTTTAGGTCACTTCATGTTATTGGACACCTAGGTTAACTTACCATGTGTAAGATAATTGGTTACGCTTGGTTTTGAGGTAGTATAATATATTCACTTTGAAGATTTATAAGATTGACAAGTGAACTTATTGTCCAGCCATGGTAACATACATGTATCAACCATTTGTTCTTAAAAATGCTGCTATTAGCTTGATATGTACAAAGATATCTGACCGTTACATACCTGTCAACTGTACATTATCTTGTGTTCCTGTTTTATTGTCCAGTCCTCTACTAATTTTGTACATTGTAATTCTAGGTTACGAGATGCCCGGGACATTAACCGCCTGTCTGACAAGTTATTACTGTTTACTTTCTCTCATCTCAAACCAAAGGATATCTGTCTAGCTGCACAAGTAAGTAATCAGCTGTCCCATAACCATGCTATTTAACTCATTCACACTTGAAATTTCATAATGAACTATTCCAACCTTTGAATTAGAAGAGTTCAAATGTGTCTACAGGGGTGAATGAGTTAATGGTGTTTTATAAAGTCACACAATGGGCAGTCTCTGTATGTACCTGTAGGTTTGTCCAAATGTTTAATGGTGTTTTATAAAGTAACGTGGCACACTAGTAATATATTTCCAGTCTCTAATTGCAACTGTAGGTTAGTCAATGTATTCTGATCAGGTTGGTAGTATTTACATTTAATAACTCAGTTATATGATTACCATATTGACAATTTTTATTTGAATAATAATCCATTAAGAGATAGCTGACAGATTGATCTGCATAATATGTTATTAGATAAAAACCTGGTAAGTGAAGGATGATATTTATAACTTTGTGACATTCTTAGTATTTTCTGAGATTGTTTATCTGTAGGTGTGCAGAAGATGGCGATACCTGTGTGCTACGGATTCCCTGTGGATGGTGAAGTGTCATGAACTAGGTAACTACTGAGGTTAAGTGTTGTGAGCAAGGGAAATATTGAAAGAGTCCAGAAGTAAAAGAAAAAGTTTTATAAATGTGTGTAAAACATGGCCAAGTACCTGGTAGGCACTCGTTGGCTTATTACTTCAGGAATCAGATCCATTTAATAGATTTAAACAGAGTTGACTAGAAATATGTTTGTAGACAGTAAAGAAAGTGCATTATCTTAAACACAGATAATGTTACTGTTATAAAGTAGCAGTAGTACTCCGAGAAACAAATTCTATATCACTCACATATACAATAGCTAGGTTAGATTACGTATGGATTAAAAAATACATGATTAAGTACAGTTAGTTTAAATAGGTAAATTATGTAATGGATTGATCTGTGGTTATGTTTGATCTAGGGGTGGAGGAAGGCATTGAGAACATGGAGGATATTGTTGTGAAGGCCAACATCAACAAGATGGGTATTGACTGGCGACTTGCCTATATAGAACTACGACGCATCACTAGTGTCACCCGCATGGCCAAGGAACGAGGTAGGGGGCAGCACTGTATATCACACATAACACATGAACGAGGTAGGGGGCAGCACTGTCAAGATTCATAATCACTGTGTCACATGAAAAACAGGAACAAGGTAGGGGAGCACTGTATATCACACATTAGACACAAACCAGGAAGTGGACAGCACTGTAAATCACACATTAGACACAAACCAGGAAGTGGACAGCACTGTATATCACACATTAGACACAAACCAGGAAGGGGGCAACATTGTATATCACACATAAAACATGAACGAAGTAGGGGGCAACACTGTATATCACACATAAAACATGAACGAGGTAGGGGGTAACACTGTATATCACACATAAAACATGAACGAAGTAGGGGGTAACACTGTATATCACACATAAAACATGAACAAAGTAGGGGGTAACACTGTATATCATACATAAAACATGAACAAAGTAGGGGGTAACACTGTATATCATACATAAAACATGAACGAAGTAGGGGGCAACACTGTATATCACACATAAAACATGAACGAAGTAGGGGGTAACACTGTATATCACACATAGCACATGAACGAGGTAAAAGATAGAACTGCGTGTCACATATATGACATGAACAAGGTAGGGGGCAGTACTGTTTATCACATGTATGATATGAGCAAGGTAAGGAGCAGTGCTGTATATCACACACAAGACACCAACAAGGTAGGGGGCAGTATATCCAAGTGGTTTTAATATAAGAAAATATTTCAGTTCCATCTGGACTGTTTCAACTGGACAATTACATGTACAAGCAGTTCAACTTCAAATGAGAGAGGTCATAGCTCATACATACAATAGAAATAAATCCTACAAAAACAAATCAGTCATGTTTCCTATATATCCTTATATGTGTGTAAATGTAAGACCAAGGAATGAAATAGGGGCAGTTCTGTATACTTTCTTAACATTGCCCAAACATGTACTAAATTAATCTCAGTTGTAAGTTCAGACCCTTTCAGATTGGTGATATGATGTGTTGACATGGTTACATGTTTTCTACTGTTGTAGCTGACGCTGAATATGAAGCTGAGAGACGGCGACGGAGAGAAGAAGGTAAGGACCCTATACATGTAATACTTGTGTATCCACACCTAATCACACACTCATGTGATTGGAATTTATCCTGTATTTCTCTTCATTTTTCAGGTTTTGATTGTAGAAATCTGATTTTGAAGGTTGTTAATGAAAATATTGGACGAACATCAAATTTATAAAGCAATTGTGTATTTCTGATTTTTAACGTTCCTCTTAATGGGTATTTCATGTCTGTATTAGAGAGAAAAAGACACATCATGTCTCGACAACCGACTCTGATAAGTGAGTAACCCACAACTGGATTAACATTGATGTTTGAGATTGTTTTTGGAGTCTGTTTTTTGGAGTCTGTATTGATTTTACTTGATAAGTTTTGTTTACTAAAGCGTGGGTTTTTCTATACACTACTTTTTGTTGTTGTTTGATATTTTTTAATGTTTAAGTAAAGTATACCATTATCTGGATATTTCTGAAATTAAAAATATACAAAAGTTTTGATAAACTGTATTTTGTTGCTCAGATTAGCAAGAAAGACTGTCCTGCCTGTTATATGTAGGTAATTCATTGTATACGTTTAGTGTGACTTTCTTGGGTAATGATACTTACTTTTTATCTGTGCTTCTATGGACAGACTGGAATCATGCGACATATCTTTATATATTATATACTCTGCTTGTATGGATGGACTGGGATCATGTGATTTCTCTAATTTGTCTGTATAAATCTGCTTATCTTTTTTGTATGGATATTTTGGGATCTTGCCACCTGTTTACTGTCAGAAAGGATTTGGAAAAGGACACCTCTTTTTGTCTTTAAATAGCTTAGAATAAAAATGTCTGCTTATTCATTAAATATTATAAAACATGTATGTCTTGGTGAAGGAGATTTTGTGTGTGTTAGATGTGTTTTCAGGGGCCTGTGAAACTTTAAAACTTCGACTAATAACGTTGTTACAGTTCCAGCTGTAGCGTGTTGTGTACTTCATAATTTTTTGTTTGGTAGAGGATATAACAAAAAGGAAAATAACCTAAGACTTTATTTCAGTGATATGTAAAACCAAATATGACATGAAATTTAGACACACTTTATAATGTTAGCGGTGAAGTAGTTTGGATTTAGAACCTTTTCTTTAGATTAGAATGATTTTGGATGACACTTTTCAGCGGAGACAACTACAGACAGTAGACTAGATCTGTCCCCGGTAATGGAGCTATCACAGAGTGTGGCCTTACTTCAGGCCTACAACACAATGTTTCATGTTCATACAGGTACACGTCTCCCTTAGTGACCTCTGTCTGCTTCAGTGTAAACCACATCACCTTGTAGACAGCCTCAATTATCAGCAGCACTGCTTCAGATTGAAATACCCCGTGCACAGTCTATTAGATAGCATTGTTTGCGTTTCCATTTTTATTCCTGCTTTCATCGACATTTGATTTCAGGCAGTCTGTAACGTAAATATTAGAAGAATATGACAAAGTTTTCATTAGATGTATACCTGCAATAGCATTAACTTTGCTAAATAGTTATTATAAGGACCCTGCATCAGAGATGCAGATGACCTATAGTAATCACAGTGTCCGTCCAGCATCAGAGATGCAGATGACCTATAGTAATCACAGTGTCCGTCCATCCACAATTTTGTTTCTGGAGATTATATCAGAATCCGAAGTACTGTTTTTTTTTTATAATTTAAAACTAAAGTATGATATTCAAATGATTTTGTACAACCTGGTATAATATAAGGTTCTAAATAATTACTCAAAATCTGGACAGCAGTTGAGGTAGAAGACATTAACTCTTAGACTTAACTTGTTGTGTTATACCTGACATCAGCTGCAATTGTTATATCTTCTTACATTTAATATTTGAAGAGCTAGCCCTAGAAAGAGGGTAAAACATTTCAAAAGTACATGTTTTAAGAGTAACTATAAATATCTGCTTATCTGTATCACCTCAACACAACTGCTACACAAATAGCCTAACTCATATAACCATGTGTTTGTCTCCCTGTATGTCTGATAGTATTATCATGTGTTTGTCTCCCTGTATGTCTGATAGTACTATCATGTGTTTGTCTCCCTGTATGTATGATAGTATTATCATGTTTTTGTCTCCCTGTATGTCTGATAGTACTATCATGTGTTTGTCTCCATGTATGTCTGATAGTACTATCATGTGTTTGTCTCCCTGTATATCTGATAGCGCTATCATGTGTCTCATCTCCCTGCATATCTGATAGTACTATCATGTGTCTCATCTCCCTGTATATCTGATAGTATTATCATGTGTCTTGTCTCCCTGTATGTCTGATAGTAGTATCATGTCTCTAGTCTCTCTGTATGTCTGATAGTACTATCATGTGTTTGTGTCTCCCTGTATGTCTGATAGTAGTATCATGTCTCTAGTCTCCCTGTATATCTGATAGTACTATCATGTGTTTGTCTCCCTGTATGTCTGATAGTACTATCATGTGTTTGTGTCTCCCTGTATTTCTGATAGTAGTATCATGTCTCTAGTCTATCTGTATGTCTGATAGTACTATCATATGTCTCATCTCCCTGTATGTCTGATAGTACTGTCATGTGTCTCATCTCCCTGTATGTCTGATAGTACTATCATGTGTCTTGCCTCCTTGTATGTTTGAAAGTGTTAGTATTAGCATGTATCATGTTTCCCTGTATGTAAGATATTTAAATAAAGAGTAACTCTATGGGATTATGTGTCATTGTTTGTTTGAGGATGTTAAGACCCACACAGGTTGAATTAGAATTTCAGACTTCCCCAAGAAATTTCATTTTAAACTAATGCTTCTTAATTTCTATCTTATTAATTTCGAAAAAACAGCTCATATTTATGCACTGCAGTAGTATACAGACATACAAATATTTGCATCGATACTTTGGTTTTACTTAGAAGTGGATTGAATTGATAATGTCTACCAATCATTGTATTTATTAACTTTTTTTATATGATCATTGATAGCGGTTCCCAGTGTATTCCAGTAATGATCTTCATAAATACTACAGTTACAGGGATTTACATAGGGATTGAACGGTAAACACCATTCAATCCATATATATATTTACATTTTTACTATATATCAATTGTTTGATTTTATTTATGTGTTCTGAAATTATTGTTTATTTACTGTGTTTTGTATAAGCGTCGTCCTTTAAACGACGTTGGCGGAACAACCCTATTTAAATCAAATTTCACCAATAATTAACCGTAGTCATTTGAGCGTTTGACGAAGGGGCATTCTCCATGTTATCCGAAGCGAAGGGACAAGACTCTCATTGAACAAGGTTAATCATAAGTCATAAGTAAACCACATGTTACACAGCGCAAATGTAAATTTAATAGTATATAAATCATAATTGCATGTATTTAGATTAATTAATACACTTAGTTATAAAAAAATCATGTCATCTATTGCATATAGTGTCATGCTTTGTAATACAGTCTGTTAGGACAAATGTAAATTAGTATTGCTACCATTATATCATTACTACACTGATGCTGAGAAAATTGTGTTGATCTTGTCCCCTGTTTGTAGCAGAGACGCCCAGTGAATTTGGGAGTATCCCAGTCTCCATCTCCCAATCACCAACACCGCCCCCCACTGAGGGGGCCCCGGGACCAGGGATAGGTATATAGTGTGCATGGCTTACAAAATCTGCATGCTTAAAAGTATATTATATCCCACACTGAACCGCATGCTTTTCTCTGCTTTTTTCCCCTGGTGAACAGGTTCGTTTAAACGTACAAGTAGAAACAATGAAGAAATTCAGGAGTATCACTATCAATATTATTGTATTCCAGTTTGGTTGTTGCTATGGTAATTTGGTTGCAAAAGATGTGCTATTATTGATGAACATGGTTAAAAAATTAAAGATTATTTTAGTTTTATAGAGGATTTAGATTGTACAATAATCCTGTTTTCTGTAGTGGAAAAGGAAGCCTGTGTCAGCTAAGATTACACAGCAATGTTTTAATACCTGTACAGGTAATAAAAATAACACTAATACCATAACTCATAACTTTTATTAAGATTGTCCAACATAAGACATAATATCATAATTAAGTTTTAACAAATTGAAGTTGATGGGAAAAGGATTGAACTTGAGTCAGTTCTGTCTCTTAAAAACCTATCTGGCAAGTAGGAAGAAAATTGTCCAAATTACAGTCAAAAGGAATAGATCCATGTACCTGTATGCTCCAGAGAACACCTTATATAGAAGTGGCTATGTCCATTGAGGTTGTGTAAACATGTACTTAAGTATGTCAGATTTGTTTTGCTCAGTGATGATGGTAGCCGTAGAATTTAATCCTAGAGATCTCTATCTATAATCTGTGTGGTACGTTTATAGAATTGCTTCGTAATCCGAGTCGGAGCTAAATTTTGTCGATTACTTATTTCGTCTATCAGTTTATTTTACATAGACCTCATGGATGATCATTTAGGTATTTAAATATAACCCACTTAATGGAATGTAGACCAAATAATTTGTCTATACAGTAACAAAGGTTGTATATCCATTTGTAGATATACATGTATGTACCTGTAGGTATATCAATTTCAGTGTTCAATGATCCGACAGATAAACGTAATAAAATGTATAGATCTGTATATAAATCATCTTTAATGGTGTTTTTATGTATTTGATTGTGACTTTTATGACTAGTTTGAAAACTAGAAATGCAGTCATCATAGCAGCCTATGAGGGATTCCATGACATGTGGAATTAATCATTATAAACATTAAAAATTGAATTTAATATTATAGAAATATCAAATTGATTGTTAAACATTGAAATTAACAATAAAAATGTAATTAAATGTGAAATGTTTAAGTTGAATTTAATAATAAAAACTAGCATGAATTAATCGTTAAATATTAAAATTTAATATTAAACATTCCAGAAAAAAGTTTTGTAACTGATATACCCACGGTATTCTATCATCAATATTTTGTGTATTTATCAACAGGTTCTCAACCATTGTATCAAATATGTTGGATGTTTTTGCAAATCCAGATTGTAAAGTTTTGAAATCTGAAAAGAACAGGAGTTGATTGTACATTTTTTACTATTAAGGATCCCGGGCCCACTGCGCTATTGTTTTTGTAATACAGTTACCTCCCTTTAGCTTCCATTTGGTCATACCTGGTAACTGAAGCACAATACAGCCAGAACACTTCCGTTGACCAGGTTACTCAACTGGTTAGAGCGATAGTATAACAGCCTAAAGTCCAGTATTCATTGACCAGGTAACTCAACTGGTTAGATCGATAGTATAACAGCCTAAAGTCCAGTATTGGTTGACCAGGTAACTCAACTGGTTAGAGCGATAGTATAACAGCCTAAAGTCCAGTATTGACCAGGTAACTCAACTGGATAGAACGATAGTATAACAGCCTAAAGTCCAGTATTAGTTGACCAGGTAACTCAACTGGTTAGAGCGATAGTATAACAGCCTAAAGTGACTCGGTGTTAGAACCCTGTTTAGCCACGCTGAATTTTTCCCACTCTGAACACTGTTGATGATTTTTTTTATTTTTTTTCATCTTTATTACTTCTCATTTAAGTCCTGCAAGGTATGGTTTTCTTTTCAGAAATGATTTATCAAAGATAAAGGCATGCAGGAACAAACAGTTTCTAACACTTTGTTACAGTTTTTGGCAGTGGTATGGGGATCCTTAAATTTGTCACTAGCTAAACTTTCACCATTATACCTACAAATGTAGAACGATGCTGATTTTTTCACCCATTTAACCTCCACTGCCCTCATTGCCACTTTACAAAATAATGTGATCTTCATAAAGTTTCATGAATATATTCAGGTTATTTAAGGGAAAATACATCCAGATTATACGTCAATTCTATGCACAATGCCATTAGATAACGATCACAATATATAGAAGAATAGATGTCCTCAAAAATCCTTCCTATATAGACCAATGCTCTGTCACTCCGACCTCTGACCCTTTAACCTTTACCAATTCACCTCAGATTGGACCATTATATGAAAAATGCATGCCAATAGTTATTCACCTTTGACCTTTAATTACCAATGCATGGACCATTGAATGTTACCACTATATGTCTATTAGCATTTACATGTACCTTAAACCTGGAGTATTTAGCACAGAGTCATTGATTCTATGACCTTTGTCAACGCAACACTGTCCCATAGACAGTCTCCTTGCCAAATCTATTTCCACCAGGGTCTCCTCACTGCTTTTTTCAAGATCACCACACTTTCCTATAAATGAGGTTTTCCCTCCAAGGTCTGGTTTCTGATTGGATTGCTTCATTACTTTTCAGAAAAATATTGTTGTATAAGTACAGGGCAGCTGTAGTTGATCTGTTTATGAGTGATCAATAAGTCATCATTGATGACAAGATATTATATCCATATCACCTCGGTGTTAGATTCATGTAGTCTTAATGAGGTATTATTACTTAATTTTGAAACTAAAAGTAGTTTTAAACTTTTCAGTCATGAATCACCAATCATACTGCAATTTCATGTGTAAACAGTTTCACTGTAATGTTTTGTATGTTAACATTGATCACAGTCACACATATGTTTGGTTGACCTGTTGTAAAGACTTTCTGTATAGAGACACATTCTACTATTTCTCACATGTCCACTTCTTACTTAACTTCTGGATTTAATGGTATGTACAGTTTTAACAAGAAGTAACCCCCGTATGATTGTGTTGACAGAGGAACTAGAGATCAAGTGTGGCACCATGTCCACTATCAAACTCGACGATCAGGACCGGGTGGTACAGTGGAAGAAGGTCGAGCGCGAGACCAGCGACCTGTGTAGTAGTGTGGCCTCCGAGGACCTATCTCAGTACAGGGACTACGTATTCCAGTCCACAGAGGATCAGCCCGTCAGTGAGTAACGTTGTATACTTCCAATCTACTGCACCTAATGGTGTTTTTATAAATACACAATTGAAATAATTGGATTTGGAAAATTTGGAAAGATAATAGCAGCAAACAGTAGAACTGTGAAATGACATAACGCCTTGTCGTCCAGCGTGATGTCACTATATTACGTTACAAGTTCCCGCACTTTGTTGATACAGTATACGCTTGTATTTGTTTTTTTACTTTTAAGAAGTGTATTACCCGGGAAAATAGAAAATTTAATGCTTTTCCTGTAGAAAAGCATATACATTTCAGTTGTATGGCAGAATACACAAACGTTTCCCTGTTTTTTTGCTATACTCATGAAATATCTGTGGTATCTATGGTATTCAATGGGAAACTATTAAATATCCTCTATATATTTAGTAACATTTTGTACTTACCCCTGTCACAATAGTCCGAAGGAACAAGTTGCCGTATGACTGGAGGCGGAAACAGCAGGCCTACAGCCTGGGGGGTCCAGTGGATGAGGATGGAGACTCACTGCCCAGGAAGGACAGGGTGAGATCGGAGGATATGCAGTTCCAGATCACACGTTCAGAAACTGGAGTCAAGTAAGTAACACACCCTGTAGATATATTAGTGTCCTTCAAACATAAATCTGTTATCTCTTCTCAGCTAAACAATGCCATGTTGAAATTTTAAATCATTTAAAAAAAAAATTGGAACTACAATATTAAGTAACAATATATTTTTTATTCTTATATTACCATTTTTTTTTTTTAAAGTTTTGCTAAATAATAACATTTTGAATTCTGATGAATATGTGATAAACTGACAGCTCCAATCATACCACCCTAGGCTGCTTTTCAGCATTACAATGGCTTTGTTTCTTTCCATGCTTGTACACAATGACCTTTCCTCTAAGATATAAATCAAGTTGTCTAATTGATTGTAGGTTTACATTAAAAATTAAACGGGTACAACTTCTATCTTTTAGTAAAGATGAAAAATGGTTAATCAAATTTTGACAATAACGTACATAAAATATGTAAAGGACGCACCTCACTGCTGAGGCATTTCAAATAACTAGCCTTACCTTTATGTTAATAATTAATGAAGTGTTTTTATACATATGTGTACAGAATTGTTTTGGTAGTTGACATCATACAAAACAGGTAATACCATTCTTGGTATTTTATGTGAATCTTTTTATTAACAACCTTTCTTGTACCATATCATGCACTAGTTGTACTGATTATTTATTTCAGGTTTTTGACGGCAAAAGTGACAAAGAAATCACCCGTGAAGAAGAGGTTTGAGGTCCAGGAGAAAGCGTATGACATTAGAACAGAATTACGACAGGCTAGTGACCTCCTCGTAAGGGAAATAATCAAGTTCGCACGAAACTTTTGTTAGGGGTAATGTTTCTCGAATATATTTTGATGTACTTACAGTGTAAACAGTAATCATATCATTGTTTACATTTCATATGTGCTGGTGTATGTTTGGTGTTCATAGAAATTCTGAAAGATTTAAATGAGGTGGTTTCTAGGATATACCTGGTAGTCCAGTCGTATCTTTGAGAAGAAGAATTTAACCACCTCTGTACAGCGAGAATGAAGGTGTGGATATTACTTCAGAACTATTTATTTGTACCAGAAAGTTCTCAGAATTGGGTATTTGAAGGAGATTATGCTTGGAAAGGTGAAGTTAAAATGCTGAGTTGTTTCTTTCTTTAGGGGAAGACTTTTCCTAGCATGCAGTTGGAGTGGCAGAAACCTAGTCTAGATGATCGGGGTTCCATGAAGTCAATGAAGTCTACCATGACTAAATCCTCATGCATGACCGGTCGTTACATCGGTGTGGTCAAGAGTGTGCGGAGGGTCAGAAAACTGCAGGTGAGACAAAAAACCTTTGCTGTTGTATCGTGTACAAATGAGGAATCGAAGCAATTCATTTAATATTTTACTATATCGTGTGAAAATGCCTCTTGAACCAGATCATTAATTTCATTTATTTCCTCCTGTAATTTTTCGTATAACTTAGAACAATCATATTTCTGATCAGTCATGATTGTTAGTTTTTATCAGAATAATTTTGTCCTTGTCATTTCACCTGTATTTCTGGCTGTTAGACCTTTTTTCTACTTTTGCATCCTCATCTTACAAATGTACCGTCCTTCTTTTATCAGTTTTCTGAAATAACATTGCAAATATTTTTGCAAACACACCCTTACCGATGATACTGTATTTCAATTTGGTATAGCTAAAGCTGAAAAAAGTCGCAGGCGCTTCTTTTGAAATGATGTCAATTTGACCTAGCCTTTGCAAGGTAGTATTCCAGACTGTCTCTGTGATGTTTCCTGCTTTGAAATATTTCCCTGGTAGCAGTATGAATGAATTTGCATATCTTACATTCATATACATGCAGAAAAAATCTTTCGCTTGGATGGCAATGAGGAAATTTGTGTTCAGTTATGCCTACGATTTTATCAATACATGCTGTGGTAGGTATTTTCATTTTCCTATTACAATAAGGAAAGCATTATTAGTTCTGGTCACCATTAGTTTCTATACCATTACTTTTATACTAAATCATTTATTGTTTTCATTTTAGAAAATAATTCCGGTAATGATTGAAAAGAGACGTGGAATTTCTTATCATCCCAGGTTGTTTAGTCAGGCTGAATTAACATTTCCCAGTTTACATGTTTGTCAAGTTTGAGATTTCCAGGAACCCATAATAGGGCCGGGCCACAGATAGTGTGTGGATTGCTATATCGACTGTGTGACAGTACTTGTTTAGTGTGTTAGAGGATGTGGTTATATATATATTATGACGACTGTGTAAATAATTGTTTTATTTCCCACTCGCAGGCTGCTTGTATACTAGGTAACATTTTTCTACCATTTACTAGGGTAGGGGGTTTGGTATGGCAGCCATAACGGTTTATATCTGTATTTGTATTTTATTGTTGGGCATCATTTTGGGATCAATGTTTGATTTGAATATGAAATAAATTAATGAAATAGATTTCAATCAAATAAGATATTTTCAAAATAAAAGAAATGGATTCTAAAGTGTTAAACAATGTTGAAATTGAACACCACACCATGTATCACTTTTCATCTAATCCTTACTTTAATGGTTTCATCAAAGGTTACTTGTTGAAGTTTAAATGGTTCTTGTCAAATATTCAATGGTTTTACCAAGCATCCACTGTTAAAACTTTAATGGTTTTACGTAATATTTACCAGTACTGTTAAAAGTTTAATGGTTTTACCAAACATCTACTGTTAAATTTTTTAATGGTTTTACCAAACTTATACTGTTAAAACTTGAATGGTTTTACGTAATATCTACTGTTAAAAGTATAATGGTTTTACCAAACATCTACTGTTAAAAGTTTTGATGGTTTTACCAAACTTATACTGTTAAAACTTTTAATGGTTTTACCAAACTTATACTGTTAAAACTTTTAATGGTTTTACCAACTTGTACTAACAAGAATTTTTCGGTTTCACCAAACATGAACTTGTTACAAAGTGATGCCCTGTTAGATTAAGAATACAGTTAGTGATATACTGTATTATTAGGACTATAAAATCATACTAAACTGTTAATCCTTCTCACACTCACTCATCACTGTGTAGACCTAATGGATACCATTCATTTACAGCGGTATAATAACCCTATGTAAACCTGGTGTTAATGCTGACTTACTTTGCAGTTGTAGTTTGATGAATGATGTTATGTTATTTACTTGTGATTGGTGAGTTGTTATGACTATAATTAATATGCAATGTTATGCTAACATAGTGAACTGCACAATTAAACCAAAACAGAAAAAAATGCTGTTTAAAATTGCATTATGCATATTTTCATCATAACTTTGTGTGGATTAAGTAATAATTCATTCCTGAAAACAGTGCTGGTTGTAAGCTTATAGAATAGAACTAAAACATGGAGATATGTAGTACATTGTCATATTCTCCTACAGATCACATCTGCCAATATTTGGTAGTTGGGTTGGATCAGTTTTACATGGCAGACCTTAGGATAAGAGCATCCTACCCATTTAGATAAGAAAAAGGTGACCAAAAACTGGTAAAAAAATTAATATGAGGGATCGGGACAGAAAAGAGTAAAAATCAGGTATCAAAATGTGCTAAGAGGTAAATGCTTCAATCACAGGAGCAGAGATGTGGATTGTGAAATGAAGATATGCTTGAAACTTCAGGAAGAAACTGAAAAGTGTTGAGGTGGTAACAGGGACTATCATAAGGGTCTGGCTTAATTGACAAAGGGACATATCATAGAGATAAATACTTCAACTCTAGATCACAGATAATGTGGTGTTTAGTTGGAACAAATGCTTCAGCTCAAAGGCATAGAGGTTTGGACTTTCCCAGATAAACTCTTCAACTACAAGGGACAGAGATGAAGACAGTTGTAGAAGCTCTTCTTCAACCTCAGGGGGCTGTGTCACCGGTTGTTATAGAGATTCTTCAACCTCAGGGGGCTGTGTCACTGGTTGTTATAGATATTCTTCAACCTCAGGGGGCTGTGTCACTGGTTGTTATAGATATTCTTCAACCTCAGGGGGCTGTGTCACTGGTTGTTATAGATATTCTTCAACCTCAGGGGGCTGTGTCACCGGTTGTTATAGAGATTCTTCACCCTCAGGGGGCTGTGTCACCGGTTGTTATAGAGACTCTTCAACCTCAAGGGGCTGTGTCACCAGTTGTTATAGAGATTCTTCAACCTCAGGGGGCTGTGTCGCCGGTTGTTATAGAGATTCTTCAACCTCAGGGGACTGTGTCACTGGTTGTTGTAGAGATTCTTCAACCTCAAGGGGCTGTGTCACCGGTTGTTATAGAGATTATTCAACCTCAGGGGACTGTGTCACTGGTTGTTGTAGAGATTCTTCAACCTCAAGGGGCTGTGTCACCGGTTGTTATAGAGATTATTCAACCTCAGGGGGCTGTGTCACCGATTGTTATAGAGATTCTTCAACCTCAGGGGGCTGTGTCACCGGTTGTTGTAGAGATTAACCTTTTAACTCCAGGAAATAGTGTAGACTGGTCTTGGGTTAAAAAACCTCAGCTGGTTGACCTATGGGTTGTTAGGGAATGAGTTCTTTAACTTATTGCTTTTAAAATTCAGAAATCACTTTTAACCAAAATAATCTTGATTTAAGAATGGAGAGTATCTTGGTTATGACGGAAATGGCTTGATCTTAGAATTGTGAATGACGATAATACAATGATGGGCACAATAAATCCGAAAGGGTTGGGAAGTCCAGTAATTCTTGTAATCTCAATATGCATGCCAGTACGTTGTTACTTTGACATGAAGTGTTTTTTCAATAACATTATAATTATGCATGCTCCCATATAATTTCATGAAATCGTTTACTCAAATATTATTCATATATTGCATGAACATTTAATAATATGCATGACTTTCATATTGCTTTCATATGTAACAGGTTTTTGTCTGGATAGTTTTAAATATAATGGAACTTAATGCATGCTTTATTCTCACTGGTTTACACATGACATCCGAAATCTGTAACTTCTACATGTAAACATTAGGGAATTAACTGGTAAAACCTGTCATTAGGCCAAAGTAACAGAATTCTTTGTTTTGTGTCTAGGGTTTAAACCGTTTTCCACCATTCTTCTACAGCATTAAAAGCAACAAAAAATATATTTCTGACCTTAAACTATAAACAGCTTTTTGTTGTTTCTTGTTTTTTCAAATATTATGAGCCAGTGTCTCCTGTTGACAGTAATGATTTCAAATTTCTAAACAAAAATGTATCATTTTTACTTCTTCTGCTTTTTTCCCCCTCATGTTGTAAACAAAGAATTCATTACTTTGGCCTTATAACAGGTGAACATGTTATGTGGATGTCATATTGAAGAACACACATATATCTTTTGTCTTTATTGCCCATAGGGTCACATGAATGGTGTGTTGTGTGTCCAGTTTGACAAAAGACGATTGATATCAGCCGGACTTGACCGGACAGTCCGAGTGTGGGACATCCGAAGTGGCCGTAGTATCCATAAGCTCTATGGCCATAAGGTCAGTGTTTGGTATTCAGTTTTAATCTCGTCAACTGTAAGGATTCTAATTTTTTTTAAAAAAATTTTTTCATTCTGGTTGATGTTTGTAATATTTATGTTTTATGTTGACATTAGGCCTGAATGTCAAGGTCATCAGTCACATCAAGCTCTAAGCTGTTTTACATATTTTCTGTAAAGGGACAGTTTGGTTGGGTAGATGGGGATTCTGTAAGGGCAGTTTGTATTGATGCTGTGTTATTATATACAGGGAGGCATCAGGTGTCTACACTTTGAGGAGAACACACTGGTCACAGGGTCCTGGGACACCACACTAATTGTAAGTACATCTGGTTTTAACCATCATATCCTCAGACAGGTTCTTTGAATTTATCTGACATTCACTTTGTTTGCATGCATTTATTGTGTTTGTAGGTTTAATCTTCAGATGTTCAATGTGTTTGTAGGTGTAGACTATAGATATTTAAGTGGTTCCTGGTCACAGCACCAACATTTTATTAAAAAGCTCATATATATATATTAAAATATTCATATCAGTTTTTCTTATTTTGCATGTATTGATATTAATGCATTATCAATATATACAAAGTGTATATTGACAAGGCATGTTTGTTAAAAAATATAAACATATAATTTAAATCTATCAGTTTAAAAATCTTGTTTAAACTACAGTGATATTGTCATAGTAATACAATGTTTTGATTACACTCCCTATGATATGTACCTAGGTATGGGACCTGCGCTCCTTTGAAAAGAGAGCAATAATGGCACAGCACACTGGTTGTGTCTCCTGTGTTACCATGAACCATGAATACATGTAAGTATACATAGAAAGATTGTTTGTGTGCGCAATGTTAGTGTAATAAGTGTTGTGGGCAGTGTTAGTATAGTGTTGATTGTGGGCAGTGTTAGTGTAGTGTTGATATTGGGCAGTGCTAGTGTAATGTTTAGTGTGGGCAGTGTTAGTGTAGTGTTTAGTGTGGGCAGTGTTAGTGTAATGTTTATTGTGGGCAGTGCTAGTGTAATGTTGATTGCGGGCAGTGCTAGTGTAATGTTGATTGTGGGCAGTGCTAGAGTAATGTTGATTGTGGGCAGTGCTGGTGTAATGTTGATTGTGGGCAGTGCTAGTGTAATGTTGATTGCGGGCAGTGCTAGTGTAATGTTTATTGTGGGCAGTGCTAGTGTAATGTTGATTGTGGGCAGTGCTAGTGTAGTGTTTATTGTGGGCAGTGCTAGTTTAATGTTGATTGTGGGCAGTGCTAGTGTAATGTTGATTGTTGGCAGTGCTAGTGTAGTGTTTAGTGTGGGCAGTGCTAGTGTAGTGTTTATTGTGGGCAGTGCTAGTTTAATGTTCATTGTGGGCAGTGCTAGTGTAATGTTGATTGTGGGCATTGCTAATGTAGTGTTTATTGTGGGCAGTGCTAGTTTAATGTTGATTGTGGGCAGTGCTAGTGTAGTGTTTATTGTGGGCAGTGTGATGTAACAGAACCATCTGGGGAAAAATTGAGGAAAATGTTTTCAAAAATAGTTGAGGTTTTGTTGATGAAATTTGTTTATGCTTTTTTTGAGTCTCGATATGTTTTTAACATGATATGTTGTATGCCTTAATAAAATTATACATTCTGATACAATCAGGCTATACCTTGTAATGTAATATTGTGATGTATATTAACTGTGAGAAATATAAACATAAACAATATTAGGTGTTAAAACATTACAAGAGCTAAGATGACTATAAAGTATGTTTTGTTTCTCGTTTGGTGTCCAGTGTGTCGGGCTCCCATGACCTGTCTGTGAGGGTGTGGTACCGCCCTGTTTACCAAGAGTACAAGGTCTTACGGGGACACAAAGGACTTATCAACTGTGTTGCATTTGACGGACAAAATGTTGTCTCCGGATCCAGTGACATGTAAGTAGAGCCACATTTTTTAAAAGAATTCACTGAGCATCATCTCTATAAATCACGGACTCTGCTTTCATTTGTGAAATATTGGTTAAATATATCATCGCCTTCCTGTAAACAAGTGGGAGTAGAAATGCTTGATTCTGGACCAAAACTTTGAAATATTTTCAAGGAAATTGTAACATTGATCTAAAACTTTTTTTTTTTTGCATTTCTAATTATCTTTAAGGTAACTTAATTTCTAATATGAAACATTTCCATACTTTCTTCTACCTCTTTTTCTTGTGAAGTATCCTTGTCTTGTATCCACACATAGAAACTCCATGGCCGTGGTATAGCTGACAACCCAATATCAAAATGTGATTTTGAAGTATATCATTTGTCAAAGTCTCTATGTGTATTTATACATATTTGTTTATATTTGTTGATAGTAACAATTAAAATAAAGGCTTGTCTGTCCGTTAGATATAGCTGTGTGTCCAGCATTCTGTTCCCGATTTACTGGCTTATAACCATCAATATATATAGCCATACATGTGTGTCTGCCATACTGATCCGATATATTTTCACAATCATTGCCGTTTTAAGACTCATAGTTTTCCTTTAGACTCTTTAAATCTTGCTAGTCCATGATGGTACATTATTTTTTCCAGGGGGTGGGTTGGGGAATGTGGGGCATATAGATGAAGTGTTTCATCTGAAAAAGTTAGTCTGAAACTGTGATTTCAAATAGAGTTATCTATCTTTGAACATCTGTGTCAGTCATTTGAAGTCTTGGTCTTAAATTTAAACCTGCAACTGCACAAGGCATAAGTGGGCTTTTTTCATTTCCTACTTAAATTTTTACAAATAGTATGAAAATGAAATCATTCCAAAGTCTATTCTTAGCAATTATAGACAAGTAACTGTAACATTAAAATCAGATATCTTTGCTAGTTATGAACTTGAATTATTTGTGTAAAAAATTCTTGGGATACCAAAAAATGTAATAGTTTTTACTTTTTAATATCCAGAAAATTCAATCAAAATAAATTGTAAATAAAAAAGGTAGACCAGTTTACCTCACGTCAACAGTAAGTGAAAATTCAGGAACTTGTACTTCATGATGAAACACAGATAGAGTTGTCTTTCTTGCCCTATAAAATAGACACTGTTCCCCATGCTTTAGGTGCCAATAATTTGTATGTATGTAAATATCTATATATTGTGAAAAAAACCCAACATAAACCATCAAATGTATTATTGTTATCAATTTTCCACGTTTGTGATAGGGCTGTATAGACCTTTTTTAAAACAGTTGGTTTAAATCATAAAAATTTAAGAAATAATATGTATGGGTAATATTAATAAAATGTATTTGAGGTCTTCAAGATCAACAATAGCATTGCATGAGACTTTAACTTCAGAAACACTTAAATAACTTTACTTTTAAAAATGCTTTCATTATTATCCTATTTGATTATGTATGTGAGCTATTGCAGACTTATATAAACAAGTATGTTGCAGGAGAAAGGTTAAAAATCTTTTTGAAAAATTCAATTATAGTGTTAAATTTAAGTTCTGTCATGGTGTGAATTTATATATATGAGCAGTTAGGACTGTACGTGTATGTAGACCTTCCCATCTCACCACCGATAGCATTTCTCCGTAAAATAGTGTGAAGTGCATTACATTGTTGACACATTAGTCTAAATACTGTTGCGCATTTTAAAATCCTCTACCATTATTAGGTCATAGAGCCCCATTTCAGCAGTTTGAGATCCTGTAATGGTAGGATATGGAGACAGTTCAAACTATAATTGTAAAAACGCAAAGTTCAAATGCCGGATTTAAAGGCTAAATTCTGCCGTGCACAAGCAATTATCTCAATATTTCCAGATGATGAACTTTGTCCTGTATGTCCCACAGAAGCTCCCAAATCAGATTTACCCTCAAAATATTTTGATAAGGATTAATTGTATGTCTGTCATACAGAATATGATAAATAGGTTTTAGAAGATGGTGTAATTTAGTGTTACTACCTCTGGGATGTGTGGGGACGGTGGGTTCCTGCCAGAGGGAAGCATGTTCTGTATATTTAACCCTGCGGTAAGGCAAATTTAATATAATTCTTTCAGTAAACCAGACAAACCTTCTTCTAAAAATAACTGGGAACTTCTAATTTGATAAATATTTTCTAAATCTAGGTATGATCATGTGGTGATAGTAATCTAAAGTCCAAATCTGTTGAGAAATGTGTCGTGTTTGCTGTTGTGTCGTGTTTGCTATGAAATGCTGAAACTGATGGAAGTGTACCATGAATCCAGAGCGGCCATAACTATGTTAGTTATGTAACATGTCATTCTTCAGTCATCCAGCCCTGTCTTACACCCAAAGTTTATCTGAGTACACTTTAATCCTCAACACACCTGCAGCAAGCAAAACTAAAGTTGCCAAACAAAAATAGGTGTACATTGAGTCTGACTCTCTAAGATGTTTTAGTTAGAAGTATACAAGCTCTAGTGTGAATCTGGCGTATGCTAGTGTATTTCATCTGTGTAGTGTTGAGTAAACTGGAGCACCACAGGACAGGGCCGTCTGCTGGGGCTCCCGGAGGCTTTGATGCCGCAATGTCAGCATCCGAATCACAAATGATAGATGAAGTTGAGTGATAAGCCTAGAAGTGAGCTATATGGCATACCACAGCAGATGAATCAGATGTGTGCGCCATTGTAAATGAATAAATTCTCCAAAACGTCTGAATTATGTGCCAATTTCCTATTGAATAATATGATGTAAGAGAATACATCGCAGACCCCTTGAGCTGGGAGGGAATCATGTGGTCTTTTTAATGAACTTAAGTGTAAAGTCTACATTTCAAATCTAGATGGTAATCAGATGGACAAATAGCTTTCCCCTCGTAAACCATTGCTGTAACGATGATGTGGCTTTGTATTAGGAACATTCAATTAAGTGGGATCTTAGTGTTAATGGCTGTGTGTTGAGCTGTGTAGGATCCGCCCTTTTTTGTGGGAATGGGTTGGCACGATCCCTCCCAGACACCGAGTAGGAAGGGGGATTTTATCTCTTTCATCCCTCTTTGTTTGATCAGACCCTTTGCGGTATATATGATCGTTGGGAGAGTAAAATGTTACTTCTTGTATTTTTGGTAATGTTTGAGCTCTGTGCACCATATCTTATCTTTCAAGCAAATAATGTTTTCATTTTTGTGAGACTTATCAGAATGTATTGTCGCAGCGATAAACACAGGAATCACGTTGTCTGTCTGTTTGACTGTAGATGGAATCTTTTCCAGACAACTCGAAAGTTTTTAAACAAATTTTATAAAACTCCATGGATGTGTTCACCGAACTCTGAAGTTGTTCACTTGTGCTTTGAATATTTTTCCATTTGGCTATTTTATGGGAGTTATACCCCTTTTGAAAAATTATAAGCCAAATGTTGTTTGATATATCCTCCAACTGTTTTCATCAAATTTCTGTGAAATTCTGCAGATATAATCACCAAAATATGAAGTTGTACACCTGTGTTCACTTTTTTGTTTTTGATCTGAATATTTATGAGAGTTATACCCCATTTCAGTTTTGCAAAATTCTTAGCCAAAGCTTTTCCTCACAAATCCTCCTACAGTTTTAATACAACTTTTGTTAAATTTCATAGATGTAATCACCACTCTCAGAACTTGTGCACTTTTGTGTTTTTAATCTGTTTTATTGAGTTATGCCCCTTTTTTCTGATTTCCACTTTATGAAAATATTTTATTGTATCTTAGTGATCTAGTTATGAAATTGTGAATATTTTTTTCTTTTTCTTTTTCTACATAATGTGGGCATGGTTTCACATTCTATATTGTGTGGGCATGGTTTCACATTCTATGTTGTGTGGACATGGTTTAATATTTGATATAATGTGGGCATGGTTTCACATTCTTTATCAGGTGGGCATATAGTTTCACTTTGTATATAGTGAGGGTATGGTTCCAAATTGAATACTGTTCGAGCATGGTCCACATTTGATGTCATGTGGGCATAGTTTCACATTCTATATTGTGTGGGTATATTTTCACATTTCAAATGTTATGTGGGCATGGTTTCACATTCTGTATTGTGTGAGTCTGGCTTCACATTCTATATTCAGTGGGCATGGTTTCACATTCTGTAATGTGTGGGTATATTTTCACATTTCAAATGTTATGTTGGCATGGTTTCACATTCTGTATTGTGTAAGTCTGGCTTCACATTCCATATTCAGTGGGCATGGTTTCACATTCTGTATTGTGTGGGTATATTTTCACATTTCAAATGTTATGTTGGCATGGTTTCACATTCTGTATTGTGTGAGTCTGGCTTCACATTCCATATTCAGTGGGCATGGTTTCACATTCTGTATTGTGTGAGCATGGTTTCACATTCTATATTGCGTGAGTCTGGCTTCACATTCCATATTCAGTGGGCATGGTTTCACATTCTGTATTGTGTGAGTCTGGCTTAACATTCTATATTCAGTGGTCATGGTTTCACATTCTATATTGCGTGAGTCTGGCTTCTCATTCCATATTCAGTGGGCATGGTGCTCATTTGATATTATTTGGGCATGTTTGTACATTTTATTTTGTGAGGGCATTGTTTCACAAGCAATTTTATTAAGACATGGTTTCATATTCTATATTCTGTAGGCATTGTCTCACATTAAGTTTTATGTGGATATGGGTTCATGTTCCATTTTATGTGGGCATAGTATTAAATTATATGTTCTATGGGCATGGTTTGACATTCTATATTGTGTGGGCATGGTTTTACATTCTTAACAAAAAAAAATTCATAACAAGTAGATATTTTTATCGATTGGAGAAATGTTTGCAATATACATAAATCCTTTCCACAGATTATTGCAAAATATATGAGCACATGTTTGTAAGTTAAATAGACACAGTAAACGATTTTATTTCAACTGGGGAGGGGGGCTGAAGTGGAGGAAAATAGTAGAGAATGGACACAAACATTTGA